TGCCGGACGAAGAAGGAAAAAGAAGCAAGGGGTGTGGAAGAAGAAGATCATCATCATCTGCCTGCGCCGATACGGCTCGTCCCTCGAACCGTGTATCAATAAACCCCCAGACGCCTACTGAGGTCGTAACAATATATATATATATACATATATATATATATATATATATATATATATATATATATATATATATATATATATATATATATATATATATATATATATCCGCTTAGGTCAGGGTGCCCTCGTAATCACCCCCCCTTAACTTGCCGTCAACCAAAATTAGTATGGGAGGGTAAGCTGGTAGGACGTATGTGGCGAGCTGGTCAAGACTTTAGTAGTATTACGATCCCGTCACGTAGGTCATTAAACAGTTCCCGTGCATAGCCGTCACCAGGTATGTGCTACAGGTGATTGATGCTTAATATTTACCCAGAAACGTTAACAACACAATTGAAAAATTTCAACTCTTTAGCGTTCAGAAAAACCTTACACCTGCAGCGTTGATTCGTCGATTGCAAATAATAAATCTCAGGATTCCAGCAGGAATCTAACCTAATCATTCTGCTTGGAAATCGAGCATTCTACCTTAAAGCCACGACAGGTATCGAAACTAGTTTTTCTTCAAATGCTGGTGTTCGTAAAACGACAAATGCGGTTGCAATGCTGGCTTTCCATTTTTATTTACCATTACATGTGTACTCCTATAACATATCGGCCACTGCGGGAAAACGTGAATTGTAGTTTGGTGCCATGCGCTGAAGTCGATTTATGTGGCAGTATCCAGCGCTACAATTTTCAGGAGAACCAGCGCTTCTCATCAACTTATCACTTCTTCTCTTGCCAATACCCGCGTTTATCTTGACATCATTGCGCATGTGCAGAAAAATTGGTAGTGTAAATATCTGCAACTGTGCAACAGATGTCTAGGCATGCAATATTTATACATAAATGTCGCATCATTTCACAACATGTCGCTGAAAAAAAAATACAACATGGTCACCTTCCCTCCGCGTGCTTCGTATAACCTCAATTCCCAAACCACGTGGGATTTACCAACATTTCTTCTCCTCATCGCAAAAAATTAAAAAAATCACAATAAACCTTCCGAAACTTTCTTAGGTAGCGCGCAATACTTGGCTGAAACGCCGGTAGTCAAAGGCACGTCTTTTTCCTATCTTCTTCACCCTTTCCTGTAACCGAGACCCGCACGGTTTAGTGCAAGCTTCGCAAATTTTCATATGCGAGGCAGCTCTTTCACTAGCATGTGTAACGCTGTCCCTCCATTCACACCACGCTCTCCTGACCACAGGTGTTGGGTTGTTGCCAAGTAGGTCACACCTTCCCTCGCAGTGCGCCCGCGTTGACGTCAGTCTCTCTCTAGCTTGTCGCCGCTCGCCGCCTGTCATCTCTCTCGCTTCACCCTCTACCCCACTCGCAATGTTCAAGCGCACATGAACCGAACAGTCTTTCTGCGATGGACATCAGAGAAAACCCAACCCTCCTTCTGTGTCTGTGTTTCAAACGAAGGCTCACTCGAGTAAGCGCTACATAGTGTTTCGCTTCAAACCGTTCTTTCAGTACCCGCATCGATGCCTGTTTCGACAGGGTCGATGCCGTGGGCACCACTGCTGCTTCACATTTCATTGGGGTTACCTACGTGGAGGTGGTTCATAATTTTTATGGTGATTTTCATGAAGTCCTAGTGATAGCGATGGACGAGTGTTGCGTAATTAATTCTAGGTTTATCACTGGTCGACTTTTGCTTAAAGTTTCTCGTCGTGAAGCACTTGTAAAAAACGGGGAAGATTGAGTGAAAAAGGTCATAGCTGGGCCACAAGACAGGATATGGGACTGAATGGTGATCGTAAATGACAGGCGCTAATATACAGCATGCTGAGAAGGTTTTTATGCCCATAATTATTTACACGTCACGCTCGCGATGCAGTCACGGCCATCTTCACTATCTCAATGTACAACAAAACAAGCATTGAAATACGTAACTGAATGAAAAACATACCCGGTAAATAACGGGTTACCTGCCATTCTTGTAATTTTGATCGTGTTACTATAAATTTTCTACTGAAAAGGATTATTGTCGTAGCTCGAAAAGCGGCCTTTTTAGGGCCATTCCTTAGAACTCATTGAGTACCTGCTACAAGCCTATAATTTTTGTGTAGTTGGCTGACATTCACTATGGTGTTTTTCATCATTCTTCGGAGAGGCGTGGTATCCACTCCACATTCGGCAGAAATATTCGGCAATGTTTTTATGCAGTGGCTGACGACTATGAACAACTACGCCTGAAGTCTGATTTTCTCGGCTGGTCTTTTTCAGTGAGGCTTCCAGATTTCACCCCTATGCTTAAAAGCCGAGCCAGTAGCTATTATTTTAGCTCTTCAAACATTCCTCCGACCGAAACCAATGCAATCATCCTAACAGACTCACTTTCGGTGTGTGCAGCTCTGACAACCTCAGAACAATCTCGTGCCCTAGCAGCGTTCCACGCAGTAGCACCGCCACATTTGAAACTCCTGAAGTTAGTGTGGGTTCTAGGTCACTGCGGGTTACAATTAAATTATTTGGCAGATGCCTTGGCGTGAGCTTCATTTGAAGGAGCAGTAATTATGGTACTTCCCGAGTTAGAAAACTTATTAGGGGTTAGATACCGGAAATTCACAATTTTTACAGATAGTTTGGAAAATTTCACAAAATGAACAGATTATCAGCACCTCATATTTTCATGGAAAGCCCAGTGGAGATCGTCAAAAAGCATGAAATCATCATCTCCAGATTCTGGTGCGGTGTCCCCCATTAAATTCATTTACACAGAGCTCGTCTGACACTTTTTTTCCTTTGTCTGTTTTGCGAAGAATCAGATACTATTGAACAATATTTTGGCTCATGTTGGAGCTATGCAACAATTAGGAAAAGACTTCTAGTTATTCCATTTGCAAAGCTAGGTTTATATTTAACCACAGAAAAAGCTCAAAATTTTGGTGCCTCTGTTTTGGGAAATTGCCACAGAGATGCATTCGATGCGGTGTGTAATTTCATTCAAGACTCTAAGCGTTTTTCAACATACAGGTCACGTTAACATATACTCAAAAAGTGGCGGGTCAAAAACTAATTTTTGAAACTTGGATATGTCCGCGACATACCAAATTAATCGGGTTTGGCAAAACCAGCAGCCTGGTTGGCTGCCTAAATCGCTATAGTTATTATTGTCTATTTTATTGTTGATCTTTATTTTCTCACTAACTGAATCTTTGTTTTCTTTTTTATGTATACTGTCTTCATTCTACAACTTTTTTCCTTTTTTGTTGTAACCAATAGTGCAGTTTTCGTCCATGTGAGACTATATGTTCTCTTGACCAATCTCCCGGAGTGAGTATGAGCCATAAATTAGAGGCTAGAAACAAACAAACAAGTGCGTTTGCCACACCGTTTATAGTTGAACAGGAACAAGCTTTTGTGGAGGGTTGGGTCATTGGTCTTTTTACGTGATTCGCATTGCGTGACGCCTTGTCGCTCTTTTGATGTTCTAAAACGCTTTGCTACTCATGTTAGCGCGATCACTTTCCCGACATCAAGCCTGCCTAAGGCCAAGTTGGAAATGAGTTACAAAGGCCGGCATGCCTCAGTGATACTTCACTAGGCTGGAACGCTGTAGAGCCGTGTAAGAATCCTAGTGTGTCCTTGGTGTTTGCTTTTTTATTGCTTGCGATATAAAGTACGGACTCCAACGGCAGCGGACAACTACGGCGTTGTACGTCCAGTACAAAGAGTATTTCAAAAACGAATGTACCATTCAGCTTTATCTTTCCAAACAGCAATAGTCTTGTTATTAGACACAAACGAATGGCTACCGGCACTCAAAGACATGCACATATTAGAAAGCCGTAAAGTGTATCCTGTTTTAATAACTCCTTTTGCTGTAAAACAGCGACCGTTTTATATATGCCACTCCCTAAACACATCTCTTGTAGTCATTACCCTTCCACCTACTTGAGCTAAACTTTAGTTGAATGTTAAGAGGCTCTGATTTTCAATGGCAGAAAGTTCAGCCATTGCCGCTCAGCTGCCCCGAGATCGGTCTTGCACAGCAGCACTCCCAGTGAGCGTGATGCCTCGTATGCCAGTCGAAATTGTCTGCACGTTAACGGCGCATCTTATTTTGGTAGACACAACTACAATTATTAATGAGGACTGCAAGGTACACTGTGATCATCCGTTACCTTAATAAAACATTTTATTTTGTGGGTGTGGTTCACACAAGAAGCGTTGGCCAAAGACGATTGATCTAACGCGCTTTCAGCAGCGTGCACAGACTGTCGCCGAAAGCAGCCGGCTGTGGTGACCGGTACTTTTCGACTCATGTGTAAAAGCCCAAAACGATTTCAATCAGTAATGTTGTATACTTTATGAACCTTATCTACTTGCAGAAGTTTCAGTGTACTGTAGTGGTAGTTCTTACCAGAATTTTGATTATAAGTGTCAATAGAACTCCAAATCGGTACACCGATACGCCCGCTATATTGGCATAGGAGCCCTTGCGTGAAAACACCACACAATATGCAATCCTATACGCACGTATCAGTTTAATTGGTCATCATTAAACATTTGTATATGTTGAATACCAAGAGCGAAAAAAAACAGGTACTAAAGAAATTACCAATGAAAGTTGCAAAACTGTGCCCACATCATGTTTTTTGGAGTTAATTGTAAATTCTCAAACTTTGCGCTCTTTTCCATTATCGGTATTTCAATCAGTGCCGGCAGCCATTCCTTTGCGTCTAGAGATAAAACAATTGCTATTTGGAAAGGACGATCGCGTATATCTTGACTGTGCAACATGTAAAAATTTGCCCGAGTGCTAAGTTCGTCTTTGAAATACTTATTGTACAAGACTTTCAGCCTATTTAGGCGTGGCGTAGTGGGCAAAGTATTCATATGGGAAATTTAAAGGTGGCTAGATAGAGTCTTTAGAAAGGGCATTGTTTTTTTTCAAGAGATGTTTTATTATTGCATTTCATTTCACTTTTTAGTAATATATTTATTTATGGAAGTTGACATCTCCTTTATAATAATGTTGAGTCGTTTAGCGTAGGTGTTCTCAGTGACTCCCAATAAAAGGCCGCTCAAGCTTCTCAGATCTTCAGCGCGATAACAGACACATAACCCAGCATGATACTGGATTTTGTTTTCTTGATGGCGCTGAGCTTGCAGTAGGGTGCGACAGTTCAAAGAAATTCAGTTGCTGCGAGACAGCCTTCGTCCTTATGTTTATCCAATACTGAGGCACACATCTTATATAGTTTGTTTTGACCCTCGTATATGGAGTGAGCACATTGTCATTCATTGGACAGGCGGCGTGCTTCTTCGCGTATGTCCGCCCAGATGTTCATCACGTCCGAGCTAGAAGTTTTGCTCACAATTGTCTCCTCCATGCGCTGTAGAAGATCCGAGTTGAAGTAGTCTTTCCAGCCACCAATTTCCCCCTTTCTCACAAACGGCAGCATAGTGGAACACCCCTCAAAGCCCTCGTACGCCGTCACATTCCGTTCCTTCATCTTTGCATCGATCTTTGGGTTCTTGTGACCAGCCAGGTTGAGCACCAAGATCCGCCTTGTATGTTCCACAGTTAGCTTGCTGAGCAAATCTTCTAGTAGTTGCGTGTTCTCTTCCAACTCTTTGGCGTAGTGCTTTCCAAGGAAACGTGCAATTCTCAACACTGTGCCACGGGTATCTCTCTTCATTTCTTCGTAGGTGAGAAAAAGAACGTTGGGCTTATCTTTCAGTTCGTATCCGTACAGTAAGTGCTCGAAGTAATCGCCATAGCCGAAATCTCCTTCAATGAAACACTCAAAGAAATCATCAAATGATCCATTTTTGAAAGAGTAGATGTCAAGCTCCTTCACCATGTGGTAAAAGGAGACACAGCAGTCCCATGGATTGCGAGTTATGTAAATATATTTTGCTTCTGGATTGAAGTTCTTTAACGGGGGGAGCACATGCGACATGTACAAGCCCAATGGTGTTGAAGAAGGACGTTCCCAATCCTTTAAACCGATGTAGTCGAGAAAGCAAGTCACTGTCGTAAAGTCATCGTAACTCTCAACTGCTTCTCCTCCATGTATGATGGTTTGCACAGTGAACTGAATCCAATGAGACCCTGTCTTTGGGTATGCGACCTGCAGTACGTCACCTTTCTGAGGTACGAATTTCATAATGTCGTTAAGTCGTTCTCTGGAGATCAGCGGGCAACGCTTGACACCATCAATGACTTGGCAGAAAGGCCTCCGACGTGGCGTCACAACAGTCATGTTCTTCGACATTTCTAATCTTTCAAGGCAAACTTCGATTGATGGGAAGCTGAAATTGAAACAAAATGTAAAATTAGGGTCAATAAATATTTCAAGCATTACTCCTGCGTGTCATCGTATACAACGTTATAATGGTATGAATATACAAAAGTGTGGCACAAAGAAAACACTGTTGCCAAGGAAAGTATGGTGAATGATATTAGAAGCAAATCTGCTGTAAATATGAACAAAAAGGAGTGGGCGAAACAAGGACTGGTCGTTGGCAGGAAGCCGAGCATGTGACCTTTGAATAGCGCGCCTGATAATCTACCAACTCTGCTAGAATAGTGGTCCTCAATCCTTCCATATAATGTGGCGCATCATCATCATCATAAATATCATCATCATCATCATCAGCGTGCACTGCAACACAATGGCATTTCCCATGATGCACCACTCAACTTGGTCCTATGCTTGCTGCTACCATTTTATACCCCCAAACTTCCTAGTGTCATTGCCCTCCTCCCAACTTTCTGTCTCTCCCTCACCCGCTTGCGTTCTTTTCGAATTCAGGCTCTGATCCTTAAGGACCAGTGGTTATCTTGCATTTGCGCCACATGCCCTGCCCATGGCCTCTTGGCACTTGTTCTTAATTTCGACTATGATGTATTTAACAACCTCTTGTTCCCTGACCCACTCTGCTCTCATCTTAGCCCTGAGCGTTACTCCTATCATTTTTTCCCATTGCTCGCTGCGTCGTCCTCAAGCTAAGTCGAACCTTTTTTGTCATCCTCAAGGTTTCTGCTGCGTAGGTAAGTACTCGTAAGATGCAGCTGGTATATACCTTCCTTTTAAGAGGTAGTTGCAGTCTACCTTTTATGGTATGAGAATGCTTGCCAAATGTGCTCCACCCTATTATTATTTTTCTAGTTGCTTCAATCTCGTGGTTGGCTCCGCATTTACTACCTGTCCCAAGTAGATGAACGTTTTACAGCTTCAAGTGCACTGCTATCTTTTTCGTAATGCTTTTCGCTTCAGAGGTTGTTGTACATGACTAGCTTTCTTCAGATTCATTTTGCAACTTACCTTTGTGCCATTCTTGCCTAATTAGGTGAACATTTATTGCAAGTCGTCTACTTGTTAGCCTACTCTTCGCCAATGACATTGCATTGCTGAGTAACTCAGGGTATGAATTGCAACTCATGATGCATATTTGTGCTCTTATGCTTGTGACTGCTAGCGGACGGCATTAATAGTCATGATGATGACTGAGAAGACTCATTATCTATCTCTCTGTCGCCAAGCGCAGTATGTTATCGCGAGCTGACAGCTGGTCGATAATCCCTTGCACAGTACCTGAGATCTTCATTTCTGCCATAAGAAAACGCTTGCTTTGAATGAAGAAAAGAATTGAAAAATAAGGGATTTGTGTTCCGCCAAAAGGTGGGAAAATATTGTTCTGCCCTAGCTGTCATTGCTAATGGCAGCATTAACACTCGCGGTTTAGGTAGTTTGGAAGAACTTTTTGTTGGGCGAGCTGGTGCATAACGGTTAAGTGCACTCATAAAATGAATGGGGACAACTGCCGCTGTTGCTTAGTTGGTAGGATATCGGGCGCGTTATTTGAAGGTCACAGGTTTAGTCAATAACAGCGGCCAGTCATATTTTCATCCTCTTTTCTTCCTCGACCTCAGCATAAATATAAATGTTTCGTCGCATTGCTCGAAGCACAGTGTGCACATCAGTGCATGGCTTTTGAGTGGTCAACTAGCAGTCATCGAACTTCATTCTGCTGCATATTGCTGCACAGCATCACTGCTGCAGACACTGTCATGTTGCTGAAACAATCAATGTGCCATGTTCCAAAAACTAAGATCGACACAATTGTATGTTTTCGCTCGCGATGAATACAACCAAACAACTAAATGTGCATGCATTCTGGACCTAATATTTCAAACTTTTCTGCAAATAATAGAGTCGCCTACATGCAAAAACAATAATGTAAATATGTGCTAATTAACAAAAATTAGTAAAATTCACACAGATCAACTCATTCCTTCACTTTTTATCTTGGAATGTTTTCCTGAGTACCTTGTAATCATGTCATGTAAATTATACACATTTGTATTCAGGGCATCATAATTAGCGCCCGTACGGGATAATACACCACATACTTCCCTTGGCAGGAACGTCTGTTAATTTTTCATTATTGCGTTTACAAGAAAAAATTGTGCTTCTTTCCAAAACTTCAGCTCGTAAATTTAAATGTTCTTTTAAAAAAGTATACTTGTCACAACTTCAACGTTAACTTATCTAACAAGAACTATATAGAGCCTATTTAGGTACATATAGCTCACTGCATGTCATACTATCTATTTGCGTATGACAGTCCTAGAGCGTAATGATTGATTGATTGATTTGTGGGGTTTAACGTCCCAAAACCACGCTATATTAATGAAAGATGCCGTGGTGGAAGGCTCTGTAAATTTCAACCACCTGGGGTTTATTTAACGTACACCCAAATTTGAGCACACGGGCCTACAACATATCCGCCGCCATCGGAAATGCAGCCGCCACAGCCGGGATTTGATCCCGCAACCTGCGGGTCAGCAGCCGAGTACCTTATCCACTAGACCACCACGACGGGGCCAGTTCTGGAGCGTGGTACAACAGTATAAGGACAGTATATGAAGGGTTAGATGTACTACGCACCCAGAAAATTAAGAACTGAACCCACTGACTTGACAATTAGGGCATTCATGTAATCATTCACCTTACAGATGGCCTTCACTGACAGAGTGGGCTCGGCAACAACGTATCGATGGCGAATGCTCAATTGCGACGCCTGTTTTTTATGCAGATTGTCGCCTGGGCAGGTGCTCCGACAGTCTTCCGCACAGAACCTCACGGTACCGACGATATCTTGGTCTCACTGCACCGACGACCACAACATCCAATTGACTTGCCACTACTGCCCTTCACTGACAGCCCCCTTCAAGACTGCTGCATTGCCAAACTGTCGCCTGTTCTACCCCACCTTCTGCACACTCCGAACTCTCGTGGTTCCCACGTCACTGGTCCGACACCGGCGCCACACCACTACTATTAAAGCACCAGCGTCACTCGTAGTCCCTCAAGTGGGCTCGGCAACAACGTACCAATGGCGAATGCTCATCTGCGACGCCTGTTTTTCATGTAGGTAACGAACCGATAATACATATTTGCCAAGCCTACACGGCATTACACGTTGATAGTGTTGCCGAGCTCACGGTATGGCTAAGGTGCCCTTTATCATTACTGCTACTACTTACTAAACCTGTTGCTGCTCTCCGGAGACATAGAAGAAAACTCAGGCCCTACTACCCGTTCATCCTCCACAGAAAACCCAGGCCCTACTACCCTTTAATCCTCCACCCCAACAGCTGGTGACGTCTTGTCTGCCCTTGATGAAGTTCGAATATCCCTCCTAAAAGAAATGAAAAGCATATAATCAGCACTGTCCGAGTATGAAAAAACTTTTGAGAACATGAACCAAAAGCTTGCTAAAATTGAAGGAGACTCTGCGAACGTAGCCACCTTTAAGCAGACGTCGACGACGTCCGTTCCATAGGTGAACAAAATTCCGAAAAAATTGCTGAACTAGCTTGCAGTATTGACAATTTAAACAATAAAGCCTAGTGAAATAACCTTAGCTTTTATGGACACAAAGATTCCGGACGCGAAACGTGGGCCCAATCGGAGGCTTTAATCGTGAATCACTGTAAGGCTGTCCTCAACCTGACGCTTAACCCACGCGATATTGAACGTGCATAGCGACTGGGAACATTCCATCCTAGCGAAGATAGGCCCATAATCGTAAAATTCCCCCATTTCAAAGGTAATGACCGCAATCTATTGAACGCAAAAACTAAAAAATACTACGCACTGCATTTCACAAGATTACTCCCCCCCCCCAAACACACGTCTAATACAGAAACGACTGATGAATTTGGCAAAGCCCAGTCTCGACCTTATAAGATCACATACCGCAAATAACCATTGACGAGGTGGCTTACGTTTTTGACCCAACTACACAAACGGTACTCCCACGTGCACCATACCTACCCACTAAAGCCCATATTCAATCGAAAGCTTTCTTTCAGTTATTTATATTTACATTAGGAGCCCTTGCTTAAACACGATTCCCTGCACAGTCTCATCCAGGCTACCGAGAGTAAATTAGTAGTACTAACCGAAACATGGCTTAACTCATCTATCTTCGACTCAGACTTGCTTCCTATATTTGCTGATTTTGATATTTTCCGCTGCGATTGCCAAAACAAACGGGGGGGGGGGGGGTCCTTAATCGCTGCTCACCATAGTTTGTAATGCTGCGCAGTAGACATTCCTCCTTGCCTCGAAATTATTTTCATCCGCTACAAAGCTGCTGCTCCACCCATTACAATTGGCGTTAGCTACCACACCATTGACTCCGATCTCTAATTTATTGGAAACTTTTATGATGCCCTCCAACTGGCAACTTCAGAATCGGACGGTTCCTCTCTCCTGCTACTCGGAGACTTCAGTTTCCCCTCAATAACTTGGCCCAACTTAGCAATAACGACATCAAAAAATAATATTGAAAGTGACTTTGTAGATATTTCCCTTACGTTCAATTTATCTCAAGTGATAACATTACCTACAAGAACAACCCATAATTCAACAAGCCTGCTAGATTTACTCCTAACGTCCGAACCTATTAAAATTTCGTCGATTTCAAATCTTACCAGCCTAAGCGATAACTCATTCATTCATGCCAGTTTCCAATAGAACTTGTCAAACCTCCAAAAATTAAGAAAAGAATAACACTATACAGCAAAGCCGATTATGAAAGTATGAATAACGAACTGTTCTCTTTTTACGATTGATTTCTCGTAGTTTTCGAAACGGTCTGTTGAAGAAAACTGCGAGCTTTTCAAAGAGAAAATGCAACAATTATTAAACACCTATATTCCTACCATTGACATCACAGAACGCCCTACTTCTCCGTGGTACAACAACGCATTAGGACACCTTAGCAACAAAAAGAAG